TCAGGCAGGCAAATGCACGTGGTTGTTCAGAGGGGAGCACCTCGATTTGGACCTGTTCTTGGCTGTGTTGTTTTGTATTTTAATAACCAAAACCCTTCAAAACTCTTCAGCTGCCTGCTGCTTTCATGACTTCATTGGCTGTTGGAAGGAAAGCACTGTTTTGAATCCTGAGATGGGCTGGGGGAGAGGATGAGAGGACTGTGGCAGCCACCACATTTTAAAGTACATTGGGATAATGTGCAGGATTCACAGAGCCCACTGCAGCCTGTTACCAGCTTGGAGCTTCTGGCCTGGCAGTGGGTCTGCTCTGTAAAAACTCTTCTTTCAAACACAGTTGTGCGTGGACACTGGTGGGAGAAGAGGCACATATTTTCCACCTCCCTGTCTGCATTACATTTGGCATTGGCTGTACCTGCTGCTTGTGCTCACGCTGCCTGTTTGTTTTTCTTAGGTAACACCAACAGCATCTTTGCTCTGGACTACATCAGTGGAGCCTTAACCCTGAATGGGCCACTGGACCGGGAGAACCCTTTCTATAGTGCTGGATTCATCCTCACGGTGAAGGTGAGAACTCCTCCATTCAGGAGCCACACCAGCAGAGCAGGATAGGGAGGGCATCCTGTCTGGGGACAACTCATTTGAGTTAGAGGTGCAAACCTGGGACATATTGCTCCTATGGCCATCCAGAACCATAATGCAGCATTCCCTGGCCAAGCCAAGTAAGACGTTTAACGCAGCCCCCTCATATGGTGACCCAAAACATAGTTGCCTCTATATGGATATATAAGGTTATTTTTGGTGCACTGCCTGGTCTCCAGCTAGATCTGATGGCAGTATACAGATCACAGAACTGTTGAATCATTCTGGGTGGAAGAGACCATTAAGATCATCAGGTATAACCATGAACCCAGCACTGCCACCTCACCACTAAACCATATCACTCATCACCATGTCTACATGGTTTTGAAATCCCTTCAGGGACGAGGACTCCACCATTGAGCTGGGCAGTCTGGGCCATGGCTTGACAATCCTTTTGGGGAAGATGTTTTTCCTCATGTCCAACCTAAATCTCCCCTGGTGCCAGTTGAGGCTGTTTCCTCCTCTCCTGCCACTTATGGGTCTTCGGAGAAGAGCCCGACCCCCCCTCGATCAAATCTCCTTTCAGGGAGTTGTTGAGAGCACAAAGGTTTCCCCTGAGTCTCCTTTTCTCCAGGCTCAGCACCCCCAGGTCCCTCAGCTGCTCCTCACAAGACTTGTGCTCTAGACCCTTCCCCAGTTTCATCGTCATTCTTTGGACATGCTCCAGCACAAGATAGCACAAGACACCTACAGTCAGGCACCTGAATTGCACCTATTTCCCACCTTTCCCTCCCAAAACTCTGGAAAACAGGAACAGTTTGTCACGACAGCGAGCAGTGGTGTAAGAGGACACTGTCAGTGTCTGCCCAGCACAGGGAGAGAGTGATGCTGGAAGTTGCCTTGTCAAGAAAAGGCACTGGAGCGTGGTCTTCCAGCCCCACCAGTCCCACCTGAGAGCAGCTCCCTGGCTCTGCTCACAGCCCTGTAATTAAAATCAATACCAAGCTGGGCAGCTGGTTGGAAACACATTTAGAAGTATAGATTCTGCTGGGCCAGGGTGGGGGAAAAATCAGCATCATAGGAAGGGTCATTGATTGTGAGGGCAGCAGCCAGCGCATCACCTTGGTGTTTTGGCAAGTGCAGTATTTTGTCAGGGCTAGGGGTAAAGGGAGAAGAAATTACCCCTCTTAGTCACAGACAGAGGTCATACTGTGAGGCTTTATGCCCCACAGAGATCTGCATCCATCCCTTGGTTTGGGCTTTTCTAGTTTCAATTCAGTAGAAACTGAGAGGAGGAGGACTGTCTGTTTTTAACTGGGACAAAAATATCCGTTTAATCTTGGAAAGGTCTGTGAACCTGAAAACTTGCCCATTTTCCTGCCTGCATGATAATGGAGTTCCAAATACATTGTGTTGACCCGACAGATTTTTTTATTTCCTCTCCCCACAAACTTTGCATCCTTTCCCAAATGCCAACTCTCTGTGTCCCGTATCCCCGGGCCCCAGAAATGTTCTCTGCTGCTTTCGTCCTGGAGCACGGAGTGAAAATACAGCTGGATTGCTGCTTGTTCAGATCAGCCTGTTCTGCTGCTGTGTGCAGAAGTGGTGAATAGCAATGAGCCGTGTGGGTCGCGTTAGCAGCGCTTGTTTTTTGTGCCCACAGCAAAGCAAGATTAGCCAAAGGACAAGAGGAGGGACTCGGCTTGAAAAGGCTGTTTCACAAGCCTTGCTTCATCTGGCAGTAAAATCTGCGCTCTTTCCTTTTGGGAAAGCAAAATTCAAGACCTTTTTGAGACAGAGGTGTGATACGGAGTCATGACTCACCTCTGTATTTAGACACGTTGTCAAATCTATTTTAAGGTCTAAATCTTATTTTCTTCTGTTGCCCTCATTTTCTGTCCCTTTGATAATACTGTGGTGGTTAGTTCCCTGTTCCTAGTCCCACCTCAGGAGATGGCAGAGGAGAAAACAGGAGTACTGTTTTCTCCAGTTGTGGCTTCCCTTATTTTGAGGACTGTCTCCCACACCTCACAAGGCAATCTTTGGCTTTCAATGTTTGCAGCAGGGAAATGGCCTACTCATCCCATTGCACGACCCTGAGTCTTGACAACCTGTTGCATGGTAAGAACAAGTGAGAACTTGGCCACAGCTGTCCCAAGAGAAATGTTAAACCCCTGGGAAGGCTTGGAGGATTGCTGTGAGTCTGAAGCACAGATAATGCAAGAGCTGGATCAACACAGAGTCATAGAATGCTAGAATGGTTTGGGTAGGAAGGGACATTAAAGATTATTGTCATGGGCAGGGACACCTTCCACTAGATCAGATTGGTCAAAGCCCCATCCAACCTCGCCATGAACACTTCCAGAGATGGAGCATCCACAGCCTCTCTGGGCAACCTGTTCCAGTGTCTCACCACCTTCATAGCACAGAACTTCTTCCTTACATCTAATCTAAGTCTATCTTCTTTCAGTTTAAAGGCATTGACCCTTGTCCCATCACTTATATGCCCTTGTAAAAAGTCCCCCTCTAGCTTTCTTGTAGGCCCTCCTGAAGTACTGAAAGGCCATAACAAGGTCTCCCCGGAGCCTTCTCCAGGCTGAACAACCCCAGCTCTCTCAGCCTGTCCTCACAACAGAGGTGTGTTAATGGGTCAGGGGTGTGGAAAGGTGCTCAAGATAAGGGGGCAATGGCAGAACCTATTGAGCAACTTCTGTCAGTAAAGTGGAGGAAGCGAAAGTTGCAAACTCTAATTATGGCAAGCACACTTTCTTTTACATTTATTTTTTGAAAAATAAGGACTTCCCTGTTTTCTCTCTTGCAGGGGACAGAGCTGAACGATGACCGCACACCCTCCAACGCCACCGTCACCACCACCTTCAACATCCTTGTCATTGACATCAACGACAATGCACCCGAGTTCAATAGCTCGGAGTACAGCGTGGCCATCCCAGAGCTGGCCCAGGTGGGCTTTGCCCTTCCCCTCTTCATCCAGGTGCAGGACAAAGATGAGGTGAGGTATCCCTGGCTGTGGGCACTTCGGTCCATCCTTCGTAGGGTTGCACTGGTGTGAGTTTGGGGGGTGAAGGGAAGGATAAGTCACTGATGAGCTAGATAAGGTGCATGGCTGTGTCCTGATAACCTCTTTTTTAGCTCTTACTGCTGCCGTTGCTCTGCTCACTCATACTCTGAGCTCAGAGGCCCTCCCCAGAGTGCAGGCACTGCTTTAATGCCGTCAGGGTTGCACATCACAAAGAGGCAGAAAATAGGATTGTGTGGAATGCTGCTTCTTGGCCGCTTCCAAGGGCTCTTGTCAGGCACTCCTTTGTCAGTCTGTTTTTAAAAAGGAGGAGGCAAAGCATGTCCAAAGAAGGACAATGAAGCTGGTGAAATGTCTAGAGTACAAGTGCCCTGAGGAGGGGTTGAGGGACCTGGGGTTGTGGAGCCTGGAGACAAGGAGGCTCAGCGGAGACCTTCTCAACAACTCCCTGAAAGGAGGCTCAAGCCAAGTGGGGGTCAGACTCTTCTCCCAAGGGACATGTGGTAGAAAAAGAGGAAACAACATCAAGTTGTGCCAGGGGAAGTTTAGCTTGGACTTCAGAAAAAATACCTTCCCCAAAAGGGCTGTCAAGCCCTGGAAGAGGCTACCCTGGACAGTGGTCGAGTCCCCATCCCTGAAGGGACTGAAAAACCATGGAGATGTGGTGCTGAGGGACATGGTTTAGAGGTGAGGTGGCAGTGCTGGGTTAATGGTTTGGCTTGATGATCTTAAAGGTCTCTTCCAACCAAAATTGTTCTGTGAGGTTTTCTGCTGGTTTCCTGCTAGGAAAGGGAAAGAAAGGATCTCATGGCTCTCGGCACCAGCTGGGAGAGGTGCTGCTGCTGTCAGGGAGGAGGTAAGAGAAATCCACTAACATGAGCCTGGAGGAAACAGAGGACAGGGAACTGGGATACCAGTTCATCGCTGCAAATGAGCTGGAAGCGTTAGAGGCTTGTTCCTCCCCCACATGAATGGAGCTCCTCTTTGTTACACACCGGTCCATGCCCCACGTAGGGACTGCAGCGTGTTTACCAGCCTTGGGCTTGCAGCTTTCAATTACTCTAATTATTTGATTCACGTGGTTCACATCTGGCTGCTTCTGTATGCCGGGACCCTCCTACCCTGTCACGCTGCGTGGTGTCTGCTTCAAACTAGTGCTGACACCTCATGGTGAACTTTCTGAAATCCGTCTGAAAGGCTCTGGCTACAGGTTCCTGCTGCCTCTGTTCTTCAGTCTGAGTAAGAGGCAAGGGGAATTGGATTTCTTGGGCTAAATGCCATCATCAGGATGTTTTCCTGATGCTTCAGGTAAATGATGCGACAGCAGGAAAGGATATGAAACAGAACATCTCCCCCCACCCCCCAAAATTTCAGTGTGTTAATTAAAATGTGTATCTTCTAAGATGCCTCTGCTGGCTGAAATGATGGATTTGGTTTTCCCCAGCCCTGGGTGGAGTTCACCATGTCTCATAAAGCCACCCAGAAATCTTTTTTTTTTTTTTTTTTCATGGGAAGTGATTATGACACAGAACTAATAATCTACTGGTGACATGATGTCACCATCCAAGAGTTATGAGTTCAGCCTGAAGAGGTGCAGATGAGCTATTAAGCAGATAAAGAGACTGTTTTTTCTTGAAAATGTCAATTGCTAATAAAGGAGATATGGATATGACAGATGCTTAGGATAGTTTCTGAATAGAGCCGCTGTCGTGCTTTCTGAGAGATGTCAGCAGATCCTTTCTTGAAGGGCATTGTAACACTTCTGTTTGTGCCAGAAGGATGAAGGATCTGTCATTATTTCTGGTTAAAAGCTCATTTTACTAGAGTGACTCCCATTCAAGAATTCACTTTTCAGCCTTGTTAATTTTAAAATGGGAGAATAAAAAATAGCCTTGCCTTCCTGGTCATGCTGGCAAGAGAGGAGACTCATTCTTTTGATGTATTTCTTTAACTTCCTGAGATTTTCCCAAAAGAACTGGCTGGGATTTTGAAAACTTCTGAGGGAGGACCTCTTGTGCTAAGGCAGTCTGAAGGAGTTTTACTGTATGCATCTTTGGAGATTGTCATATTAGCACAAATTGCTTTGACTGTAGCATTATTTTCACTGATAAGAAGCGCAGGAGAGCTGATGTCCTGGAATATCTGGAAGGAGAAAAGTTATAAGCAATTAGGTTTGGGGTTTTTTCTGCATTATCCTCCAGTGGATCTTTATTTCCTTTCATGGATGCATGCAGCTGGATTAACCACCGAGGTAGCTTGTTGGGAGGGGAAAAATGTAGGGAGAGAGTATAAGGTAGAAGTGGGGATGCATCTGCAGCCAGGCTTGTTCTAGCACTGCTTCCCAGGCAGTGTATTTATAGAAGTCCCAAGACCCCCAAACTTTCAGTAAAAAAAGTTAAAGAAAGGGAAGGTATTTGCCTGATGGTGGTATTTTGGAGGCTCAAGTACCCCTTGAGAGTTGTTAGGCTTTTACAAACCATCTGGATTTGAGGTAGCCGAGATGGTGCCAGGCTCTTTTGGCTCTCTGTGAGTACAGGAGTGGAGAGATGGGATGGCAAGGACTAAGATCTTCAGGCAAGGATGTGACTGAGGATGTGGCTGACAGAAGCTATTTTGCCAACACGGCCTTCATGCTGGAGATGACATGATTCATTTGTGTAAGGGGCAAAGGAAAACAAGAAGAGAGTTACAGATGTCTCTGAGGAGAGCAGCTAAATAAATAAATGAGAGCAGATGGATAGAGACACATGAAATCAAATCTAGAGTCTTCAGAAAGGTTGTTTTGCTCAAGTTTTGTCTCCTACCTCCCAACCCATGGCATTGAGTCCTGGGAGGGACCCTTGGCAGGTTGGTTTCTTTCTTCAACGAAGCCAGCCAGCCTTGTCCTGGCCCCTCTGGCATATTTTGACACTGTTCCTTCAGCCCTCACCCTTGTTGAGGTCTGACTTGGATGGAGCAGCCCATGCCTGAGCCTTACCCCACCCAGGAGTCCTGTGAGGTTGAGTGCCTTTGGGGAACCTGCCTGCCTTCTCACTCCAGTTTTGTCTTTCTAGAGCTGGGGAAAGAGGTATTGTGTGGGTCTGGCTCTTAAAACAAACTCTGTGGGCTGCCGAGGCCACTAAACAAGAAGGTTTTTTGTCACCAGACCCACGTGGCCTTTTTAAATGGGGGGGTTTGGGTCTTTCTTTCCTCTGGTGTGTTTTGCACAAACTTAAGTGATTGCTTTTTGAAGGCATTAGATGAGACGATTCAGCAGAGCACTTAAAAATGTATTTACATTGCACACAAGACCTTGCATGAAAGCATGTGCTTGAATTTACCTCTGTGTTGAAGTGCCTTTCTGGAGCTGGGCTGCCATCAACATCTCAGCCAAGGTACCTAAGCAGGGTACCAAGGAGTAACACATTCCTCTGAGTCTGTCCCTTGCAACCTCCCAGCTGCCATCCCTCAAACGTGGTCACAGTCTTGCTCAAACCGAATCTGGCTGAGGCTGAGAGGTGGGACAGGGAGCACCTCAAGAGGTTGCCCCAGGGTTGGGTTGAGCTGAGATGACCTCAGGTGTGGATTCAGGGTGCAGCTAAGAGGTGTTCAGCCAGGTGTGCTGGTTTTAATTCTTGCATTCTGTGTGGCTTGTTGAAAGCAGATGAATGAAGAAGAAATCAGTACACAGGGTTTGCACAGGGTTTTGGACTCAGCTTTCTGTGAACCAAGAAAAAAGCATTAAGCTGAGTTTGTCTTTCTGCCAGATAGACAGCAAACCACTGGAATACTTTTCTAAAGCCATTTTAGGGCTCTTTATGAAAATCTTTGAAAATTTCCCAGTATTTAATGTAGGTCTATACTCAAGACTCACTGGACACTGTGGAGGACCCCTATGTACGTACACTCCCAGGGTGGGGTTGGATTCTCCTCTCCCTGACGTTGCAATAGATCAGTAGGGATGAATAAATCCTGTGTATGAGATGGAAGATTAAAGCCTTAAATTATCCACTTTTGCAGCAAGGTTTGTTTCCAGGTTGAAAGCAAGAGCCCCAAGCTGCAGGGTAAGTCTGAGTTAATTCATAGGGCTGGGTAGCTCCGGCTCATCTGCTCCAAGGCTTGCTGAGGTCCTTTTTGGATCTCCTAGTATTTTACAGCCTGGTGGCTTGGTGTAGTGTTTTAGAAAGAAGACGAGGGTTTGTTTTGAAAGGATCAGGGTATCCTTCAGGGCATCCCCATTTTTAGCTTTCTATCACTGTAAGGTCCACAGAGGAATATTAAGAGAAACAGCCGCGAGAGAAACCATCTCTTCTACCGTGGCTTCCACTCGATTTTCCTTGATGAGGTTGACTGAAGAGGAAGAAAAGGGCAGAGGCTGTATAAAGCACAAGTATGATGGTCTGACATTTTAAAATAATTTTGAAACAATTCTCCAAAATAAGCATATGGAGGAAGATAAACGGGGAATTGAAGAAAAAAAAGAAAAAAAGAAAATCCAGGCCATGGGAATACACAGTATTTCTTTTATAAAGCTACATCAGAGACTCACATCAGGATCTCCTATGTGCCCATGCGTGTGCAGGTGCAATATATGAATCATCCATAGCATATATATGCATATGACAGACACGTGCACTATAAATATGATCTACACGGCAAGGAACTGTAAGGGGAATTGACGGTGCTCAAGTATTCTCTCCCAAAAGTGCCAGCTGCCAGTCGGGCTGAATTAGATTTCACAGGGGTTTTTGCAATACATGGAATTCACCAGCAAATTACCCTTAAAGAGGGAAAATCAATCATTTGGAGCAGAGATAAGCTGAAGGCGAGGCAGCCTCGGATTGATCCCGTCTGTGCAGGCGTGTGTGGAATTCAGCAGATAACCTGGGGAGAGCGAGGAAGGAGAAAACTCCTCTGGGAAGGGGGGAGCGGGCAAGGGCTGCCACGTAGGATGGACAAAAAGACAGGAGAAAAGTGCTGCCAGGGTGGGGAGGAAGAGCAGAAAAGCCCAGGAGCATTTTGCTTTAGGCATCCTGCAGCACCTGCGACGCAGGTGAGGTCCTTAGGGATGCAGGGGAGAAGCACCCGTGCCCTGCGAGCCCTCAGAAGGCTTACTGATGCTGTAGTGCTTGGGTGCTGGGTGGGCAATGAGTGCTGGGCAAGGAAGGGGTGCTGGGAGGCTGAGCTGGCTGGCTGGGCAGTGGGAGAGACTCTGGAGAGGCTGTTCAGAGCACTTGAGTTAAATGCTTCGAAGTGGGTGGAAAGAATAAACCTCTTCATGCCTTGTGTTTTCAAAGGAAGGATTAAGCATTATTTGTCTCTGACTAGCTAGAACCAAGCATAAGGTATCCAAGCAGTACAAAAAGGCACTAATTGCTTTTAAAAAAAAAAAGAACACCTTTTTTTTTTTTTTTCTCCCCTTCCTTCTCCACCACTGCTGAACTCTTAGCACTTTCCTTTCTTTACAAACCTGCCAAAATGAGGGATATTATACACTCCTCAGCTTTTTGTAGGTAATAGCCTGTGCCTAGAAAGTGTCTGGGAGGAAAGCTGGAGTTACACTGGATTTTATACTTCAGAAAGGTAGAGTTCTCCACTTTGGAATGGAGAGCTGTAGCTGAGCTAGGATAGAGGGGACCAAAGGAAGCCCTGTATATATAGGAGGCTTAGGGGAGACCTTCTCACTCTCGACCATTCCCCAAAAGAAGGTTGGAGCCAGATGGGGGTCAGCCTCTTCTCCCAAGGAACAAGTGATAGGAGAAGTGGGAACAGACTCAGGTTGCACCCACGAGAGGTTTAGGTTGGATATTAGAAAAAATATCTTCCCCCCAGAAGGGTTGTCCAGGTCTGGCCAAGGCTGCCCAGGGCAGTGGTGGAGTCCCACCCCTGGATGAGTTTCAAAGCCATGGAGATGTGGTGCTGAGGGACATGGTTTAGTGGTGCTCTGGCAGTGCTGGGTTAACTGTTAGACTCGACTATCTTAAAGGTCTTTTCCAACCAAAATTGTTCTATGATTGTGTGATTCTATGAGGAAAAGAAAACTGAGCATCCCAGACTGCTTTTCCTAAATCTAGCTCACTTTGTGCTGAAACTGGTTGTAGCCCACCAACCTATCTGTGCACTTTGGTGGTTTCAGGACATGGTATGGTTGAGGAAGGGTTGTTTGTTTGTTTTAGGAGGGGTTGTTGGTTTGTTTGTTTACTTTGAAGTTTTGTATAGCCATTGGTAAGTGATGCTGAATACTTGCTTTCACTGGTGGAAGGCTGAATACTTTTTGAAACGTTTCCATGTGCACTCTCATGAGGAAGGGGCTGGATGGGAACACGACTGATGGGTGAAGCCCGTGGGTGAAAAAGTAGGGATAAAGATTATGATCTATTCTCAGTCAAAACTGGAACAGATTACATGGCTGCTCCTGGCCTCCTGATAAGAGAAGGAGTTCCCTGATTCATGGTGAACAATGCCCTATGAGCACATTTTGCATGCTGGGAGAGCAGACTTTTCACCATGATTCATAGCTGGTACATGAGCACATCCCATGGGGTACCTGGGATTTCTGGAGGGACACACGTACCCACCTTCTGGCACGTCACAGCCTCACACCTGAGCTCCTGTCCTTGCTCACTAGTCCATGCTGTGCCCAGAGAAGGTCCTCCCTCTGCTCCAGCACCCAGAATTTAAGAGGGATATCGGGCACGTGGGGCCAGCAAACAGGTCCATAGCAGCCTTTTCAGATATGAAGCATTTGGGGTAGATCAGTCAGCAGTCACTCATTTGGAAGTGGGGTATCAGTATGAGGTTGATGCTGGCACTGTGGCAGCAGGGACACGATGCGGCTCCTATTCCACGCTCCGAGGAACACACACGCGAAGAACAAAGTCATAATTACGCCCAACTGCAGCTCCAATTGTCTTTTAGCTGAATTGACATGAAATTTCCCTCGGTGGTGGAGCTGGCTACGGCTGGGAGGAGGGTTGATTGCCGGGAAGGAGGCGCCGGGCAGCAGCCTCGAGCCGCAGCAAGCGCTGGCCCCGCGCCCTGGCACGGGATGGGACGAGCTGGGAAACGTGTCCTGGCTTTGGGCAAGAGTGAACTTCCCTCTGAAGGCAGTTTCTTTATGGCTCGATTTATTTTAGATAGAGAGCGCGTGCAGACGGGTTTATTATTGTAGTTTGGTAAGCTTTGGCAGGCTGCTCATTAATTTATGCCTCTAAAGGAAGGCAAAGGAGCCAATTTGTTTTCAGCGATGGGGGAAAAGAACCCGAGCAGTACAGGAGCTGGTGGGTAAGAGGTTGGAGGGGGGAAACAAGCAGGTAAAGCAGGTCAAGCATCGATAGCACACCCAGGCATCCGGTGCTCATCCGCAGCACCACAAAGAGCCAGAGCTCAGCTGTGAGCCCACCACTGCACACCAGAACCTTTGCAAGCCTGGGGAGTGGGAGCTTGTTTTTCTTCTTCATGCACGCATTCCAGATCCGTTGTTTTCTCTGGGTGGCAGGAGCCAGGAAGGAAGGGGTGAGGAAAATATAAGCAGCTCCCCGTGGCTTCCTCCAGAGCAGGGGGTCCTAGCTGTGAGCCGGGCTGAGCCGGCCCCTTCTGCTGGGCAGCTGATAACAATTTGAATATTCAGATTTGCTTTCAGCTATCCACAGGGGGCTCGCAGGCTCCGGGAACCGGGAGCAAGGAAAGCAGCATGGGGGCAGAGACAAAAAAATAAATAGCCGAATAAATATATGAATGGCAACTCGCAGCAGCCCTCCTGAGAGGCAGATGTATTCCCCTTCTCCAGACCTCACGTGGGGAGACTGAGGCACTCGAGGGGCTCCTAATTATAGGGATGGTGGGTATCTGGAGGCTGAATCTCCTTCCCCAGCTGGAAGGGAATTAATCCACCCAGTACTTCCCACAAATCTTGGATTTCTTTTGATGTTTCAACTTTTATCTCATGCCTCCAACAAACCCAATCCTTTCCTGCTTCCAAGAAAATCTCTCGCATCTCGCCATCACGGAAGGTGTTTTTGTGTGGTGTGGAGAGGGCCCTGGGAGAGACATCGAGGGCTCAGCCACAGAGCTCGGCAGAAATTTCTTAATGAAATGGCTTTTTGTCACTGGTAGAAAATGGTCCTTTGTTATAAATTGGCATCTTAAGGATAGGGTACAAAATAAGGATAGGGACTTGAGGAGTGATGCTTCCTCCTGCTGTTCTCTGTATCTTCTCCTCCATCACTCACAGGCTCTGTACCAGTGTCAGGGAACATCCCTCATTCGTGCTGAAGTTGGCACTTCCCAGTTTGTCAGCAAAATATCTTTTGGAAGGAGCTAAGTTTGCCCTAGGATGGGTCCCTTTTGTTTCCTCTATAGGAATGCTCACTCCCCATTATCCACTAGCTGAGCATTGCTGGGCTCCTGGGGTGGTGGGTGCTTTCTGGGCTTGCTCGTGTGGCTTCTTGGGTGCCCTCAGGGCTTGCTCATGCTGTGTGGCTCTGCTGGAGGTGCTCATTTTGCCCCCAGCTCCACTGGTTGCTGGGGTGTGCAGAGAGGAGGGCAAGCAGGGATTCTGCTCATGTCGCCAGCTCTCGGTGGTCACGCTTAGCCAGCTTTTGCTATTAGTGCCCCTTCGTGCATTTAATTGGCCCCTTTTTCTGATAGGAGGGAGGTCATTCGGGGAAAATTGGAAATTCGGCTCCGGCAGCTTGTGAACTTGATTTTCACATGCTCTGTTGGGCTGTGCCTTGGGAAGGGGTCCTAAAGTGCCACTGTCGTGTCAGCCAGTGGCTGGCTTTGCCAGCCAGGTTTTGGGAGTCGAAGAGTTTTCTAGTTCCCAGTTTGAGCTGTCTTACTGGAAAGAGCCCTGTGCATGGGAGAGGCACCTACACTGTGCCCTCCCAGCACAAGGCAGTGCAATGTCGGTGGGTAATATCCTGGGCAGTGGGTGGGTCTTGAAACAGCAAAAGGGATTTTCCTTGCAGCCGTGTGCTGTGAAGGTTCATCCCAGGGCTGCGTTCCTTTCATGTGCACGTGGAATTTGTATAAAATGGGTGCATGTTAAAAGAAGATTTATGGAAATCACATACACTGTACACTCGGTAAGTGTAATAAAACACAACAAAGAGCTTGAATCCCGTGACTCAGTTAACCAAACCCAAGCAGAGAACCACTCCTTTGTGTCTCTGGTCATTACATTTTTACCTGTCTGAAGGCAAAGGGAGCCCAAGCTGCTGGTGCTGCCAGGTTTGTGGCTGATGCACAGGCTTTGCAGTCGGGTCACTGCTGCTGTCCCGCACTCATCCTTAGGCTGCTCCTTCTTCTTTTGTCACTGCCAATTTTTTTTCCCTCCCCAGGGACCCAACAGCATTTTTGAGGTTTACCTGGTGGGCAACAACTCCAACCACTTCATCATCTCACCGACCTCCATCCAGGGGAAGGCAGACATCCGTGTCCGTGTGGCAGTGCCGCTAGACTTTGAAACCATTCCACGCTACGAATTTTCGGTAAGGCTGCACCTCTGTGGGGCGTCCATATTTTTAAGAGTGACCTTAAAGTGACCAAACTTCTCTCTTCTCTCTATCCACGCTATGAAACTTTGGAGCACTAAAAATGGAAGGGGAAAAAAAAAAGTAAATAATAATATAAGAAAAAGAGGAGGTGGGGAAGAGGTTTGCTCTGCACCTCTCTCTCTTTCCATCATCCAGAGGCTCAGCTGCAAGAGCTTAAGCAGAGCTTGCTCCCCCCTTGCTATGTCATAGAGCTGTAAAAGCTTTATAGAGCATAAAACTTTGTTTTAAGTGCACCTATCAGGCACTAAAGCTCTCCCTGGCCTCCTGCTTTGTTCCCCTCTCTGCCTGAGCTGTAAATTCTCAAGGCAGGTACAGCAGGCTGATACCACACTAGTGGTGTTGGTCCTGGCAGAGGGGCTTTCATGCATTGTTCAAGAAAGACAAGCAAAAACCTTCCTGCTCCTTGCTCCAGGCTGTGCTGGGGTGGCAGGTCCTAGTTTCCCTGTTTTCCAGGCAGAGGCTGGAGCTCTTAGGTGTAGGTGGTGCAGTGTATTTGGCTTGTCCATGGACAGAGGTCACCTGGAGCTGAGCATCTCCCAGGGGAGAGGGAAGGGGCTCTTTTCTTTTTGGTGGTTAGCACTGAGCTGGTTCATCTGGTGCAGGAGCTCAGGAGAGCATTGTTTTCCCTGTTAATGGAGAATAGAGAACTCTTCCAAGCTTTGCAAACAGTGCCTCTAACCCTCCCCTTCACTTCCTATCTCTGCCCAGCTCTTTGCAAATGAGAGCGTCCCAGATCACGTTGGCTTTGCCCGTGTGAAGATCAACCTCATCAATGAGAATGACAACCGCCCTGTTTTCAGCAAGGTCCTGTACAACATCAGCCTCTTCGAGAACACCACTGTGGGCACCACTGTCCTCCAGGTCCATGTGAGTAGGAGCATCCTGACTTTCTTTGTCAAACACCAAATCTTTGGTGTTTGTGTGTCTCCACAGTGCCTGTCACCAAGGGATGTGGTGGGGAGCCTGGTAGGGGAGTGGTAGGAGATGCTGGGACTGGGGTAGGATGTGGCCCACCCATGGGCTTTTGGAGCACATGCCTTGGCCTTCCTGGCTTCTGGGAGATGTGTGTGGTTTCTACCACACCAGGAGCTCAAGGAGAGTCCTGCACTGAAAGGTCTCACCTGTAGACAGCAGCTTCTCCTGCAGATACTGATCCCATAGCCTTGTCTCTCCCTCCTCCTCACTGCATGGGATCTGAAAGGTATTTCAGTTGGGTACATGGCTTGTGTCCCATCACGTATTTACTGCCTCTCTCTTACCTTAATTCTTATGGTAAAAGTTGTGCTGGTACCTAAGACCTTGGTCGCTTCATCCATGAGAGTAAACACCAAATGTTTGCCTTTCAGTGTAGGATTTCTCACTGCCCCGTTTGGAAGCATCATCTTCCTCAATCAAATCAAGGTCAATTAAGCCAAGAAAAGGGTGAAGGATGGAAAAAGAGGGGAATGACTGTGTTTAGCAGAGTCTGGTACTAAATGGTTGGCAGCAGAATAGTGGTGCAGCAGACAGAGGTGATGATGGTAATGGGGTGTTTCCATAGGGCTCATACTTCCCTCCTGCTTGGTGGGAACACCCAAAATCCTTGGTGAGAAGGTGAGACATTTCCCAAGGCATGAGGGTGATGTCAGCTGATGTCAGTGCCCGTGTGGGGCACAACAAGAACCAGAACAAAACCTTGTGCTGAAAAATGGTCAAAATGGAAAGCGAAGCTCCTCTGGGATGGGAAATACCACAGAGGGGGAGCATCAAACCCCCTGCTAGGCACTGGGAGAGGTCCTACTGCTATTGTTAGAATTTGGTACCCTGCCACCCACGCCCCCCACCATGTCCCCACTGTCCTGGGACGCAGGCCCTGGTCTCCCACCCATGCAGACGTGTGCCAGTCCAGAGAATAAAAGCTCTGACAAAGGAGCTGGGCGTACGGGCTCGTGCGTAAGTGTGTTTACTCTACAAACAGATGGTGTGAAACTGTACAGAGCCCCTGAGCTGTTCCCATCTGACAGTTATTAATATTTCAAGCAGATGTTTAGCTAGTCAGGCCGTCAGACACTAAACAATGAGATTGTTACTGCGTCTCCTCTCTCCCCAACTTCCAGCTATGCCAGCATTTCGGAGGGAATGCAAAATGCCAGGAGTTGAATCTTCTGTGCTAAATCAGAATGGATGCAATTAGCACTGAAATCCAGATTGCCCTCCCAGCTGATCCTAAACTTTTACCAACCCTGACAAAGTCCCAGCTCCTCCTGCTGCTGCTGTTGGCCTTTGAGATGCAGCCCCCTGCTCACTTCCAGGGCACTGCCTGTCTGCACCGTGCCTCTCCAGCTGTCCCACGTGCCCCAGACAGAAAATCTGCTTTCCTTGTGAATAGATTCCTCCTTTTCTTTTTTTTCCTTCATTTCTGCTTGCCTGGGAGCTTTTTATGCATATTCCCCCACAGATTTTAGGGATGGGTATATGAAGAAAGCCTGGCCAACCACGTAGAATGCACCTTTCTTTGATAGACATTGAATGATGGCCTTATGGAAGGGGACTTTTGTTGGCTCCCTCTTTGCTCAGTGCTGTAAAATGCCGCTTTGTGCAAACAAGAGCAGGTTTTGTGGCATGCCTTTTGAAGAGTGATGGGTTTCCAGGGTGCTAAGGGCCACACAGGAATGATGCAAGTGGGGGAGCACCTCTCCTGTGAGTAAAGGCTCCTATGAGTTGAGATGGGTCAGTCTGCAGAAGAGAAGGCTCTGGGAAGACCTTATTCCAGTCTTTCAGTTCTCAAAGGGGGTTTATCAGAAAGAGGGGGACAGATGTTATAGCAGAGCCTGTTACAATAGGACTAGGGGTGATGGTTTTAAACTAAAGGACAGGAGATTTAGACTATAGGGAAGGAAGACATTTTTTTTATGCTGAGGGTGGTGAAACACTGGCTTAGGTTGCCCAGAGAGGATGTTGATGCCCCATGCCTGGAAACATTCCAGGTGAGGTTGGCTGGGGTTCTGAGCAACCTGTTCTAGCTGAAGCTGTCCCTGCTCACTGCAGGGGGGTTGGACTAGATGACTTTTCAAAGTCCCTCCCAACCATCCTGTGATTCTATTATTCTATGAAATCACGAGATCTGTGACACTGTGATGAACAGTGGAGCATGTGGGTCAGGCGAGCAGTCACCAAAGGACAACAGGTGACTTCCCACCAGCCATTCCTGGAGATAGCTGAGTACAGCTGGCAGGGCAGAGTAATACCTGCAGCTCCTTCCCAGTAGCAAAAATGCAAGGGCCGAGGCAATGGGAGATCACTGATCTTCTGCCCAGCCCAACAGCCTGCAGAAGGAGGAGGAGTTACCCCCAGCAGCCCAGAAGACCCTGGGCTGGTTGCCCATCTTCCAGCAAGCACTTCCCTGCTCCTCTCCCCTTCCTTGGCTGTGGTGGTCAGGTGGGTGTAGGGTGAGGGGAAGGAGTTTCATTGATGACCTGGGAAGAGCAGCGAGCCTGCCCTGCCCCAGCACACTCCTTGCTGCCACCCTCTCCCTGGTGCCCTCTGCTCAGCCAGCTGAAAATGGAAAGGCAGAAACCCAAGCACAAGCAGACTTCACTTGTGGTGGCAAACAACCATTTGTCTCTGCAGCATTTCAGCTCCCAGTGTCAGTGACGGCAGCGAAACATTGCTTCTTACATGTATAAATCAACTGCACAACAACTCCAAGTGCCAGCAGCTGGCAGGGATGCAGGGCTGCTGCCTGCTTTCTGCCCTCTGCCTCTTACCCTTTGCCCAGGGAAAGCTCAGATCCGGGACACCTCAGCTCCCCGGGCACATCTCAGTGACTTCCCTGGCGCGACGCAGCCTTCTCTGCCCTCTGAGGTTTTGTTTGTCTGTTCTTTGTGCTTTATTTTGTGCTCTCTTTGTCTCCCTGTCTGTCCATCCATCAATCTGTTTGTTTTGTGATCCTTCTGTGAAAGGCGTTTATCATATAGATTCAGATAGTCATTGGCTTACATGAGAACATCTGGAGAGTCTGAGCTTCACGGGAACAGCTCCTGCTGTGTGCAGAGAGCCTGCACTCAGAATCACAGAATGGTAGGGGTTGGAAGGGACCTCTGGAGATCATCTTGTCCAACCCCCCTGCTCCAGCAGGGTCACCCAGAGCACATTGCCCACGATCATGCTCAGGCGGGTTTGGAATCTCTCCAGAGAAGAAGACTCCACAACCTCTCTGGGCAGCCTGCTCCAGGCACTGGCACCCTCACAGGAGAGATTTTCTCCTCCTGTTCAGGTGGAACCTCCTGGGTTCCAGTTTGTGTCCATTGCCCTTTGTTCTGCCATGGGGCACCACTGGAAAGAGTCTCCCCCCATCCTCTTGACCCCTGGCCTTTAGATGTTGATAAGCATTTACCAGATCCCCTCTCAGTCTTCTCCAG